TAAATACAGTTTCCTTTTCTTTTTAATAAATCACGAGGGATTAACATGATTAGAACAAATCATCGCAAACATTGAAGTAATAAGATAATACTAACGATGTTACCATATCATTTTCGCCAAATTATAAAAATCATCTAAACCTAAGAGATAGCGAGATGAAAGAAAAAATAACATTTATGTTCTATTAATGTCACCAATAAATTATACATTTATCATGTTGATGAATTAACTGCTAAATGTTCGTACGTTTAACTCAAGACTTCTTGATTTCACCAGTTTTACCAGTCATTTAAGAAATGAAATTGAACTACCAACCTTATTTAATCTACGTTTGACTTTAAAGCACCTGACAACTTTCTGTCTTATAGAGCAAAGCTTTACAATGTGGTGTCTTCCTTCTGTCTACAGGATGGAGTCGAATCCCGAAATTTAGCTTTCTAACTCTGTCAACTTACTGGTGAATCTTGACAACTTCTGATTGCATTGCTTCACCGTTGAAATGTAAGCTTAAATCTTAGTGACGTCTGTAAAATCATGAATTTAGGTCTTATTATTATTATTTCTGCGTTATAATAACCATAAACTGGCCGATTCTAGTGCGCTAAGTAGAATTAATTAACTGTGATGCGCGCCACTCGCAGATCAGAAGATGAACTCAAAGAAACAAAATACGCTAACGGTTTTCAAAAGAAAATGTTTTTCTAAGAAACTCACTTCTTTATGGCTTTCGTGAAATTTTCGACTAAAAACAAACTCGAGCCTTTCATCTAATTTCATCTCCATGGCAACTGAAAGGCAAGTGTATATACTATAGTAAAGGTTTTTTTTTTTCTTGAGATCTATAATCCAAATATATTGGACAGAACTTCGTTCTGCTTTATCACTCATAAGTAAAGAATGTTTTCGTCAACAATAAAAATTACAAAATATCCTACTTAGCACAAGCATAACACTAAAATCTAATATATCTATTAAAAATCATTTGGTTTCCTTACAGGTTTATAGTTTACCAAGTAAGATATTTTAAAATTCAAACAGTAAAATATAAGATGATAAAACTAAACTTCCCCAAATGAAAATGTTCAAACAGACTAATTGTTAAACGACGTAGAGCCTCTAGACACAATATTTCGATGACTAGAGTCTTCAATGTTTTTTCTCTTTTTCATGAAAGCGAGAAAATATGACAACAACAGGCTTCGAAATCACATCCGTGAAATAAAAATTTGATTATGAAAGATAACCTTCTGACTCAACTCAAAAATCTATTTTAAATTTTAATTAAACTGGACATATCTCTTTGCACCGTCAGCAGGAAGAAGAACTGAAACTTGACAAGGACTCATAATGTAAACGCTCACATGTTTCTAGCTACACCTAAAACTCAACGTATGTTTTACTCAGAAAGATGGCTGAAGATACCGAAATCATAGTGATTGTATTTAGCCATATGCATGTTAAGTCTCGATGCAATTCCAATGGATTTTTGTACATTTGGTCTGTTTAAACGTGATACAAGTACAGTATGATGTCGTGGAAAGTTTCTTGTGATGTATGGTCTAAGATTGACTTTATCATTCTTTGTACTAGCGTTGTACACTAAAAATTGCGTTGTCTAACGACATTGTGCTATCGCAGATACCAGAGTGAGCACAGAGAACGATAGAAGAGCTATTTCTAAAGATGGCACGAGGCCTAAAATATCATTCTTATGAAATCAGATAAACCTCAGTAAAAGGAAATTTGTGGCTTTACTAGACGATTTAATAACTTATCTGTAATATATTTCTGGAAAATAGAGACGCATGCCACCTACACTTTTTATTATTAATGATTTAATAAAGCTTGTTTAATTTTCATCTTTCAAAAAATATGCCATATTAGTCATTATAGAATATGGTATATTATGGAGAAAAAAAAAGATAAATATTAAAATTCAGAAAAAGAAATGGAAACTGTATTTAGATTAACATGATTAGAACACTCGTGATTTATTAAAAAGAAAAGGAAACTGTATTTATTTAATGTTTTTTAATCATCCAACATCGAAATATAGTTGAAATATTTATTTTAAAGTAGATTTCAAGAGACTTAGAAACTCGAGCGCTTTCGAATAGTTTCTGGGTATTTTGAAATCTACGATGTTGTTGTTTGTTATAAAGCAAAAAGCTACACGAAGAGTTATCTGTGCTCTACCCACCAAGGGTATCAAAACCCGATTTCTAGCGGTATAAGTCCGCAGACATACCGATGTGCCACTAGGGGCTTGAAATCTATTGAATTTTGTTTTTTTTTATGATTATGTTAGCCAAATACAGCTGCTATAACAAATGAATATTGAAATTTTAAGAAAATAGAATGATCCTAATAATGTTGTACATTGATGCTGGTACTAGATCTACATCTTTTAATTTTCTAACATTTATAGTGTATATATATGTATATATATACTATTGTTGAATGTTAACTGGTTTATATAAAATTATTAAATTTGATTCACATATTTGTGTCGTGTATAACATAAAGTGTTCCGTCAATGATATTTTGACATGACCCATCATTTTTAGATCTGGATTAAATTTACAGATTAACTTTCCTTACACAATATAGCAATATTGCTTTTCAAAAGTTGTAATCAGGTTAGATGGGATTAGGGTACTATTGTGCTTTTTATGGTGCTGTGTGTTATAACACTCACAAAAGCTTAAAAATTGTGCTAGATTAATTAAGTTCGTTTTTCTTTTCTAAAACATTGGTTCACGAACTCTTATTATCAAACGAATGTTTCTCAAGTAGCTTGTGTTTAAAGACTAATCTTCTTCGTGATAGTACCAGACAAGTTAAGTAGAAAAAAAGTTGCAGGAAATTCTAAAAGCTTGATGTTGTTTTTAGTTTCAGACAGAAAACTTAATTAGAACTCTTAGATCTACAGTCTTGAAAACATGAAAGAAAAAAGACCTCTGTTTGTATTTTTGCTTTGTTTTCAGATAATAGGTTTGTTGGATTAAAGTACTAGTACCGAGGTGTTTAGTAGAACACATGCCGTAAATTAACAGTTCTTTTTTCAATATATGGCTCTATATCATTAAAATTATTTTACTGTATTATCATATCAAGTTGTATTGGTTACTTATATATGAATATACACAAAAATACATTCTAAACTGGCTATTTTTGCTTTTAAAGACTCTTATTTGACTGGAAAAAACACACAAATATATCTGGTAAGAAGACAAATTCGATGACGAGGAACCCACTTTAGGAAACTAATAATGGTTGGAGATGGCTTGAATGGGTAATGAAGAAAAAACTTTAATATAAGTTTAACATAACAGCAAATGTACAACGTTTCGACAAGGTTTTGTCATCATCTGCTGTTATGTTAAACTTATATTAAAGTTTTTCTTCATTACCCATTCAAGCCATCTCCAACCATAACTATTATTTTATATATAAGGATTCAATATTTCCCTGTATATCATCAAGTCACATTGCTTTTGTTTGCAGATCTTTTTTCTGTAATAGGGTAGTCTGAAGTAAGTATGTTCTGAAAATGTTGTTATATTTTATAATCAGTTACAAACTAAAGTGGTGTATATAAGGTAGTATTGTGAAGAAAAGTTTAAATATCAGCGTGTGTGTGTGTGTGTGTGTAGGTGAGAAATATCTATAATTCTGGCAGGGAAGTGAGATAAAAGATGTTTGGAAGAATGTGGCCACTTTGGTGGGAATTGAAAGCAAATGGCATTAAAGCATTTTGATGCAATTAACAGCTGTATAACTGCAAATTGGTTATTCTTATATAGCTGTGATAGAAGAACATCTTTTTTATAACCAGATTCAAGATGAATAGAGGGGTTTTCACTTCTTCCCACAATGTGTAAATAACTATAGCTTGGCACATAGTTTGAAGACTAATTTAAATCTCCTGAACTGGCCATACCTTGT